GATTGAGGGGAGGGAATCCCCGGCAGTGCCAGTCAGCACAGATGCAGTGATGATGCGTCATGAATGTTAAAGCCTGGTGTGATGTAGGCCGTGAGTTGACATCTCAGAGCGAGACGATGTCCACCTTTGTGTCCCTGTTAGACTTTGTCCCAGTGAGCGTTTCTTATGCACTTCCTTCAATAAGTGGATTGGTGTTAAGTCAGTTTCTCTTAGTAAGGCATTAATCTGCATTGAAGAGGAGGAAGAGGAGGAGGAGGAGGAGGGGGAGGAGGGGCTCCATATATTCAAACCTCTCAGGTTCTCGCTCACAGAACGGATTATCACTTTTGTCTCTTGCTCCGACCGTCTCTCCTCCTCTTCCTCTTCCTCTTCCTCCAGCAGACCCTGCAGAGAAAGTGGAGGAGGGGGAGGTGAAAGACTTCGGGTGGGGCGGCCGATGGGGGACGGCGGGGGGAAGTGCTTGCGATGTGTCATGCTCATTGGAATCCTGTGAATGTCCTGCCCGGTAACCCATGGCAACAGCTGCTGCTGAGTCACTTGCTGGGGTTGGGCCTGTGGATGCTTTGTGTGGACGGTTCCTCTGTGGATGTGATATGCCGTCTGTCCTCAGATTGTCTTTCTCTGCCACAGACATGTCTCTTACAGTAGATTTCCACTGAGACACTGATTTAATCTGTTTTCCACTGGATCATGTTTTCTATCTTAAAGAGAAGTCCCTGTGGTTTCCAATGCATTTTGTTTACAAAGACAGAGAGCTATTGTTTAATTGTGCAGTCAGAGTGACAGATGGGTTCAGGGTGGGATTGGGGTTACACCAGGGACCATCCATGGATCTACCAATTATATTGTGTCTCACTTTTGTTGTGTTTAGCCCATTATTTTTCAGCATAGACCAGGGGTGTCCAACATACAGCCCGTGGGCCAAAATCGGCCCGCTAGGGGGTTCAATCTGGCCCGCTTGATGAATTTTGAAAGTGAAAAAATGCATATGAAAACACTTCATGATGGTGATGAAGTTGACCGTATCGTTGTTGTTGTTGTAAAACTTTGTCAACATTGGATAAAGATATGAACTGAAAGGTTTTCTTAACTGGTAAGACGTGCATACAGCGGTTGGACAAGCTTTCATAAGTAACTGATATCTCTATTCCAACTGTATGTGCAAGAAAACATCTGGTCAGAGCCACAGTCAAACTCCATTATCACCTGTATGCTGATTCACAGTCGCCCATCACTAGGTAACTAGCAGTGACTCATGTCTGTGGGTGGACAACACATGCTTGGACAGCCATCTGGACAGCTCTAAGTTCTATCCTGATAAGGATTAGCTGAACATGAACCTGCAGCTAATGGAGAGACGGAGACGCTCATTTTGCAGTGGAAAAGAAATGTGTCCCTGTCAGTCAGTGCTGTGGCTGTACTGAAGGGACAACACAAGTCGTCCACACCATCTGCTCAGGTCAACTGCTGTTAAAGATCATTCGATCCCAGTGATCACCGCGGGGATCATCGACATATGGCAATAAGAGGAGCGTGAGCAGCCATGTTTGGGGGTCAAAGGCTGTGCTGGGAGTGAGTCAGCTCACAGGATGTGACTTCAGAGAGAAGTGTAATATGAGCATCAACGCCACATGGTGGTTTGAAAGGAATCTGTGATTCAAACTATGTCACTAATCCAAATGAATATTTACAGTATAAGGTCAAAGGTCAGAGCCTCTTGTGGCTCTTTCATCCCTTTGCTGTGGCTCCTTGTGGCTTTGGAAAATACATAATAATATTGAATTTAAATGTATTTTAGTTTGTAATTAAAACTCTAATTTTAAATTAGAAGATGATGGCGCTGTTGTAAAATTAACAGCGTCATATCCACGTTTCTTCTCGCACTAGTAGGCCTGTAGTAAGTGAGGAGTAATTCATCACAACTCTTTACCTCCTCCATTCTTCATTCATTGTGGGTCCATTCATTCATTTGTTATTCATTATTGGTATTTTACGTTACGTTGTCCTGAGTTTGATTAAAAATGTGATCTATTTTAAATGTTAGTGGTTACTTACTACAATGAGAATTATTTAGAGATTTTTCACAAGAATTCACATTTTCACACAGGAAAATGTGAATTCTTGAAGGTTCACTCCTCAACTTTTGACATTTACCCTTTTAATGATGCATCTGAGAATAGAATGTAATAGATGTGACCTTGTCTACAGGTCAGTTTTTCAGGACCAGGACAAGATCCCAGTCGTATTTGATGGTGAGCTATTAACGCTGAAGAAAAAGGCACAGATAAGGAGACACAGGTACACACACACACAAACACAAACACATACAGTACACACAAAGGCAGGCTAACTTGCTAACAGCTAAAATATCACCAAGATATTGCTAATAATAACAAACCAGGGTTTTTTCTCAGCTATTTTGGATCTGCATGTGTCTGTGTGTGGGTCGTCTGCTGGTGGTGAGAACTGGAAGTGTGGCACATAAATATTGTAGTTGTTGTTCTACTAGAATAGATGAATCTGTTTTAGGTGGTGAGAGCGGAGTTTTGAGGGCTGTGTTTGAATTTGCACAGATTTCTCCATTTGAGGATTATTGTGAAATTGAGCCACGGTTCCTGAAAATGTTTTTATTCATCCAATGAAACGACCTAAAACAGTTTTTAAATTTGCTACTGCAGCTCATGATCTGGTGCTGTGTCCATTGAGGATATCACCAAAGCAGCTAATGCCTTCATATTCCTTCTCTGAACAAAGAGCAAAGAAATAACAAGGAGTGGGAGGAGCCTGGTCTGTACTCTGCTCTGCAGGTTGTGTGAATGATAATTACACCGGTGCATGTAGACTGATTTAAAAAAAGAAGCCCTGTCTAACAGCTTTTTAACCACTGACTACAACATGGAACCTGATGCTTTGTTAAGAGTCAGAGTGCAGGCGTGGTCCCACCTTACTGACACACACACACACACACACACACACACACACTGGCTCGGCATCAGCCTGTCTGCAGCTCTGCTTCATTACACCAGACATGCCTTATTAGCCTGGTCCCTGGTGCCGGGGGCCGCTGATCAATGTTGACTCAATGCTGTTGACGTTAGCTATTGCAGAGCTACGATGCATGGAGTCGATGCAGCTGCACTGGGAGCTCAGCTCAGCTCAGCTCAGCTCAGCTCAGCTGGCTCTGTGACACTGACTCAGTGTGACTGGATGGAGACCTGGGGCAGAAAACACACTCAAGATGTTGACATGGACGAGAGTGTGTGCGCAGGCATCACGAGGATCACATGTTCACAAAGATCCACGCATGCATGCGCCCCCCCCTGGTGCACCGGTCACCTTGGTGCATCTCGTTCCCCTGAGGCCTGATACAGTGTGACAGGCCTGACATCCCCCGCCCCAGACTCTTCTACAGTCCATCCAAACATGTAGAAAGGACAAAAGACACAAAGAAAAGTCTCTGGACATTCATGATGTCTTTATTATATATTAGCCTTAACATATATTTTCATGAACTCTGGGCTCAGAACGTTGCTAATAAGTAGAGTTAATTACTCTGGCTTTCCCCAAGAGCTAATCGGCTTAATTACTGCCCCTTGATAACGACAAGCTAAATCATGTCGTGTTTTGGTCTTTGTAAATGAGCAAGGCACCGGCACACAGGAGTGCAGAGTGACTCAGGTCAGGAAATGGCCTCACTGACTCAGTGACTCAGGTCAGGAAATGGCCTCACCCCTCAGCTAATAGTGCTAGACTCAGCTCCTAATGGTAATCAATAAAGCATGAGGTTCACCACTCATAATATTGATGTGGTGTAATGTGCGTTTTACACAGTAAAAAAAAAAAACAACTTAGATGTTAGCCAAAAAAATGCCAAACATTAGAAAACAAATAGTTTAAAAGGCGGCCAATAAAAACATATCAGAACTTAACTTAAACTTAACAGAAATTCAACTTCTCACAGGTGATGGAAACAACCATAGCAAAACATTAGGGCTGGTTGCTGCGGAACGCTAACAGCTAATTCCACATAAGCTTTAGTATTCAGTTGTATTTGCCTGGATTAGATTAAGTTTAAGTTGAGATTCACACTAGATATTTGATTTCACTGCTGCTGCTGGTAAGTGTTTGGCCAATAAGTGCCACTGCACTTTCATTCATATGGCAGGACGTTAAACAGAAAAGTGCACTCTACTTTACTTTTGAATTGATTTTTGGAGTTTGAGTAACAGTGCAATCAAACGTAGTTAATCTCAAGTCATGTGATTAATCGTGATTGAATTTTAATCGTTGCTCAGTCCTACAAAAATGCACGCATTTAGCATAAGAAATACATTAAAAAGTAGTACCTGGTCAAATATTGGATACATATTTTAAATAATAAAAAATAAAGTCAAACGTTGGGGTTTGAGTTTCTGAACTACAAAAGAGCTGAGACTCGACCAACAGATAACGGAGGGACAAAAGTAAACAAAACAATTTTACAGAAGTCAGAATTCCCTAATCTTCTGTCGTTCCTCGTCTCACTGTTATCTGCAGTCTCTGTATCATAAGTAGATTGCTCAAACTTGGAAGGACCAAAATTCCTGTCCCTGAGCATGTGTCCCGGCTTGTCTCCCCCCAGGCCCATCTGATTCTCCTATCCCACCCCCGTATTATATTCCTGCCTCTATATGCTCTTTATATGAAGCTGACGAGCCCTGAGGACACCCTTCCTTCACTCTGTTTGTGCTGCAGTGATACTCATTTATGATTCAGTGTTGGAGAGTTGCCCACCGTTCTCATTGGCCCAGCTGCAGGGGCTGCCACTGAATGAAGCATTTGATAAACTTGATAAAGTCACTCCTCTCTGGCTGTCTAATTTATGGTATGTTCATACTTTCAGTTGGGTTGAGACCAAGCACCAAATTATACCTTGATCTTGGTTAAAATCCCATGTGAGCTGAAAACAGGGCTCTCCCACTCAGAGGGCCTGAGGACCGCTGCTGCTACTGTCATATTGTTGGAAAAAATAATTATAAAAATGACCTTAAAGGCAAAATGAACTTATCAATAACATGTAGTCATAGGCCAGATGTGTGGTGTTTGCAGGTTGGAAGTAGCCCCGAGCCGGGGGTTTGACACCCCTGGCTTAAAGACTATAATCTTAAAATGTAGTCTTGAACCTTAAGACTTTTTTTTTTTTTATGAGGTTGTAGGTCAGTGACTGAAGACCACTCGAAGATTTTATTATGATTTTAACCAAACCCAAAAGCCGGTGCCTGGTGTTATCTGGGTGGAGCTGCACTGATAGTTTAATCAGTCGGTTCCTCTGTACCACAGTAGTTTTGGTTCAACTTCTCTGATCAGCTGTTTACACAGCACTGACTTTATTACTGCAGACCAGGGACACATAGAAGACATAGATTTTTTTTATTATTATTGCATATTTCAGCGGCTAATACAAGAGCCAAGCTTTGTGCTGCTCCAAGAGAGTATTCAGGACCACCAGTACTTCTCATCTGACATTCTCTACTGCAGGGCAAGTTTAGAACATATCAGATCCACGTGCTCCTGCATCATATGACATGTGAATCACTCAAACGCCTCATTGTGCACCATCTCACTTCAGGCTGTGACAGTCACGTACGGTCAAAGCCCGGCTTTAGTTTTGGCAGTTTTGACATACATTTAATTTTCTGCACTAACCTTTAACCATGACTTTGGCAGAATTATGGGGATTTCTGTTATTACAGAGGATAAAATTAAACCTTCTTCTCCATTTACTTATCTTTTTTGCTCATCTTTCCAAGTTGATTTGTGTACAACAACATAAAAGTACATCTTTTAAAGCAGTACAACAGCAGAAGACTACTACAGTGAACTACAAAGATCCTGTAAAACTCCAGAGGTTTTAGAAGAGGTGTGGCTTTGATCATTTGATAATATTTCACAGCGTTGATCTACCGTATCGTATCAGTACGGAGCACATGTTTTCAGAAGATCTTTCCTGCACTTTGACAGATGAATAATCGCAGCAGTTTTAAAGTGACGGTGCACCTGATGATCGATGATCGATTTCCTATGTTTGAGCCTCTGCTTTACCCATAATGCACTTCTGTGTTCAGCTTGTATTTGTTCAATGCAGTGTTGCTTTATTTCTTTCTTTATTTCTTTTTCCATACTGGAGGTTACTACAGGGATGATGACATCTGTCTGTGCGGCCATTTGTCACAACATAGAGCGGAAGCACATTTTCTATTATGGGTGGGGTCAGGGCACACCCTGTTACAGTGACCCACTTCATCACAGGCCCATACACATACACAGAGATTTCATATAGAAATCCAATATTTAAAGCTGATTTTCCATTTCTGTTGGTGAACTCTTCAGTTTGAGGTCCTGGACGTCAGCACAGGAGTCAAACCTTTACCTCACTAAGCATCTGAGGAATTCAACTCCACCTGTTGTTGTGTCTGGAGAAGGCCCATGAGAATGAGGAATGTGTTTTCTATGTGAAGGGAGGAATGCATGACCAGTGGGTATTGAGGATAAAGTCTGAAGATGAATTACAACAGGATAACCTAAAGCTAAAGGAATGGTTTGGATTTAACATATACATTACACACATTTACTATCTGATATACACTATGACTATACTTACATTTTGCACTTTTACAAGTCAATTATCAAAGTGCAAAACTTATAGAAAGTTTCCTACTTTAGTGAAAATAATGTCATGATAATGTTCATGGTTCAGATGGTAATATCTTTAACTCGCCTCTAGGGGTGTTTGTTTATCTGCTTGATAAAAGCACCAGCGTATGTAAAGATTGGTTGGTTTATTTGACCTGATCTGTCCATCCATTACCCAGCGCTTCTTCCTTTGCACCACGTGGACCCCCATCCAGGAACATTATCCCTTTACAAACTCTAATCTAAAATCACTGCCTGACTGAACTGACCTGGTGTCAGTTTTCAATGTCAGTCTTTGTCTAACTGATGATTTGCCAGCAAAAATACCCCTGGAGTTTTTACCCCATGTGGAGAAACTTCTCAGTATTTCCTGCCTCTTCAATGTCCCAGCAAGCCTTCCCACTGCTGCCTCTCTCTCCCTCCCTCTCTCTCTTTCCTTCCCCTTCCCCCTTCTGTTTCCCCCTCCCCATCTGCATTAAACAAAGGTTGTTTGTATGTCTGCTCTGTCCAAAAAAGGGAAGTCTGGGTAGATATTTTTCACTCTTACGCTCTGCCATTCGCTTCTTCTGGAGAAATGTTCCTAGAACATTTGTAAAGTGTTTCATAATGACAACACAGCTGCAGTGGATGTTGCAACACACGTGAACGACAAGCTAACTTGTTAATGCAGCGACGGGTTTGAACGGTCCTGTAACTTTGAGTGATGTCATGAAATACATTAAAACCATAGGTTGATAATGTTAGATTAATTACATTTTACTACCTCAACTATTGTTCCTCATGTGAGCGATGTAGCTCACATACTGTACATCAGTACCAATGTCACTCAGCTACGCTAGCACAGTGCTAACATCATAATCTAGGACATAAAAACATCAGTCTGACATATGACATTTTTTTTATTCTCTCTTGTAAACCATACTTGTACGGCTGGTGACTACAGTTGTTTTTAAACCGGTACCGCTCGGTGCCGGACTCCGGTCTATGATTACAACATTTGTTTACAAATATGTGTTTATCAAAGACTTAGCAAGGCAGGAATTTATCCGCAGCATGTTCCAGGAAGGATTATACCCTTTCTGTAATTGTTCTTAATTAATTAGTTAATATTTTTATGCTGACTGCAGATGTGTCTGTAATGACACCACACACACACCATGATTACTTCAACTGCCAAAACAACAAATGGACTCCAGTGAGTTCACACAGAGAGCTTTGGCGCTCTCTCGACACACACACACACACACACACACACACACGCACACACACACACACACACACACACCAGGTCCTCGGGGGCGAATGACTGCTGAATGTCAGAGGGCTGAAAATGCTGTGGAAACGGTTTCTGCAACAACAAGGGAACAGGAAGCACTGATGTTCCTGACTGGACCAGATAGATACGTAGAACTATCTAGAACATCTATATATCAACATGTATTTCTTTAGGAACTATCTGGATAGAGAACATTGTTTTTCTGGACTGTCAGCAGTCTCCAGCAGTGAGTCTGAAGCCTCAGAGGTGTCACACTGTGTTCCACCGTGATCAGTTATTCATTTATCCATGACTCACACTGTGACTGGCTACACTGCATGTTGTCCTAACAAATAGATAAAAAAGAAATCTTCCCAGACGATAAGTCACTGATTGTGTGACATATATGGGTCAGCACTCCAGTCTGTGAAGATAACAGCAGACGGTTTATTTTATTACTGTAGTTGTGGACCTACCGTTAGTGATTACTGTCTGATTATCTCTTCAGATTAAAACTGGGTTTATTTGTAAGAGACCCGGCAGAATAACAGTTCCAGTAAAGTGTGCAAATCACCAGCAGGGCACTGAAGACTGTTTGGTGGAAGAGTTCCACTATTGTTGCTGGTATAGGAAAAAGACGCACTGACACTTCCTGTTGTCCAGTGCAACATTTAGGGGCTTCTTTTTGCCAAGTTGCCGCCCTCACTCTATCAAAGGTGAAAATGTTTTTTTTTTTCTGGGTTTAATGAATTATGGAAGTTTGCTTTCAGGAAATGAGTTTGTGTGAAATCAGAAGGTGTTTTCCAGGTGTGGTTGCAGCAGGCACTGATGGATTAAAAGCTATGACTTCACAGAGCCAAGAAACTGCCACCACGTGAAGTCCACACAGAACGTTGATGATTTTAACAAGGCAGCCTTCATCACACACATCAAGTTCAGAGAAGCAGTTTTGATCACATTTTCACATGTGGCACAAACTCATCAATGTCCAGATAAAATGTTGTTTTGGTTTTTTTTCTCTGTTCACAGTTTTCAAACAGACACACCTCCCACTCTCCAACCCCTGACCCCCCATCCTGTTATAACCACTTTAACCTTACGAAAGTTAATCTTTTGTCCAGTGTGTTTACTCAGGTGAACCTTTTGCTAAGTTGCTAAAAACATTTTCCTTCCGTTCCTGTTGGCAGCCATGTTGGCTGTACAATAATGATCTAGTTATGGTCCAAGCAGGTCTGTGGGTGTGGAACCAAAAGAGTCTGTCAGTGTCAGCGTGAATATACAGTATATCACTATCTCCCATATCACACTGGAGAATCTACACTCTGGTGGGGGTCACAGGCTAATGCTAGCTGGAACACTCTATCCGTGTGGACTTTCCTCCGGCTGCTGCAGTTAAACCAAAGCCGATTTGAAATATTTCGAGCCGTTGCTCGTTGAAAAGAATCCCAGATGCTCGGGTGCCAATGAGGAAACAGCCGGTCCCTGTGTCTTCTTTGTCCACTGAGGCCCCTCTTCCTCACATAAAGGCTTTGGTCAGGCGTGTGCCTGCATTCCCTGGGCCCTCCCACCTCAGCTGTCCCCAACCCAAGTTCGCCTGGCTCTTTGCCCAAAGAGGTCCGACTCGCTCTCTTTGTCCGCGGCTCTGACACATGACTTGCTGGCAAACGGCAGCAGTCGCTGGACTCCAAACGCCACCCCGGCCTTTATTGTTCCTCAAGCTCCATTCTCTTAAACACAGCTCAGACACAGGACGCCGCGATGGACACAACAGCCAACACCGTAGTGGCGGCCATCATGTGTTGTTGGTTTGAGTGCAGTCGGATTGGATGGTTTTTGAGATCTAGACAAGAGATAAGAAAATGGAAAAGTTCTATTGATGTTCTATTTAGAACATAGAAAATCGTGGAAATTCCCTGTTTATTGTGGTGGGGTAGGCTACAGGAGGACACTGACAGTGCTACACTGTCTGTAGAGGTGACGCTGTGGTATATATACATACATATATATGTAGATTTTACTGAATCAGAAATCAAAATGTATTTGCAAATTCTGCTTGAAGTGAGTAGAAGAGAGAAAGTAGAAATGACAGGCTGGATATGACCAATCATGTGTTTGCAGGAGGAAGATAACCGTGGTCTGTATCAGCTCCTGGTACACACCATGGTTATCTCCCACCTTCTAACAGGCCTCCCAGCACAGGGTGGGAAACCTCTACAGGTGGTCCAGAAATTCAAGTCACTGTCGCTGCCCTACAAAGTACTTAATGGGTCTGCTCCTTCCCACTGAAGTGCTCTGATAAAGGCTGATGTTGCCTCTCGATCTCTCCTCTAGTCAAGCGAACGTTGTCTGGCTGTTCCAACACCACCCTGCACAAGGCAATCCAGAATATTTTCGTGGGTCGTTCCTGCGTATCTTCAAGAAACTCTCTAAGACTCAGCTCTTCAGAGTGCACCTCCTGTCCTCCTCTACCTCTGACCCTCGTCTGTCTCCTTCAGCACTTGTTTCCCAACTACTGGTCTCCTTTCAAGAGTTCCTCCATGTGACCTGATTGGTAATCCTCCTCTGTAGGTCGCTTCTGATAAAAGCGTCCGCTAAATGCATAAACATAAACGTAAATGTGATTGGAAACCTTACCCAAAAATTATAGTTGAGATTTTAAATACAACAAAAAACTTTTTTTATTTGTAATTTTATATATATATGTGTGTGTGTGTGTGTGTTTTTATTTGATAGTGCACAGTCTAAACTGTATAACAGCACATGAACCAGTAATAAATGTCCTGTAGTCTGTCCACAGCTCACTGTTCAACATCACACAGATAGATTTATCAAAGACAAACACAGTATAATTCCCAGGTTAGACTCCTGGTTCCTAGGAGCTCACAATATTTACAAGATAAACATCAGTAATATAATAGACAACAGACAGTGGAATAAACATGTTACTGTTGGGTATAAACTATTTATTACTACAAAGGTCAAAGTCAAACTAAAGGTGATCGGTCAGTCCTTTTACCCCCGGCTGGAGTTATTCAGTAGACCAGGCAGCGTCAGCAGAACAACCTGGAGATTGTAAACCAAACTATCAAAGATATTAAAAAGAAAATCCCATTCACGGGCCTCTTCTCTTGAAATTACTCTCAGCAGAATGTAAATATTTAGATTGGCGCAGAAGTTTTCATCCCAGCTGCTGTGCAGTTGATGAGTTTCTCTGGATGTAGGCAGGAAAAGTTTGGGTTTGAAGGAGTGGGAGGGGAGAGGAATTTGAGCTGTGTGTAGCTGGTGTACGGCCACAGTGATCCCACTGTGGCACGATAACAAATCTGTGAGGAAGAGACGCCGTGGTCGGCCGATTCCAGGCCTTGATATTCAGGAGGAAAAAAGGCACAAACAGACGTTTCTCCATTGTTTTAACAGGATATAAACTGTTTATGGTGAGAGTAGAACATGATCATTTAGTCAAAGTGCTCACTTTGGAATTCCCTCCTATTGTATCTTTGCTCATGTTTTCCCCTGGAGATTGATAAAATAATGTTAAATTGTTAAATTATTAAATGTATCATGAGTAGTCATCAGTCGAGATTTAACTAGGCAGGGTTTTAGAAATTAGGCTGTAGTATTTAGTAGTATTTATTTCTGTTTAGTTTTTATCTTCAAAATACAATTACAATTACGTTTATAGCATTGGTTTGCCAAGCAGTAAAAAAATAAGGCTGGATAGGTTAGAAAATAAGCTGCCACAATCCTCCGGACCCTAACCCTTCCTCCTCCTCTTCTTCCTCCTCCTCCCCCTCCATCCAGCCTCCACCCATTCTTCTCCTCCTCACAGGTCAGAACAGGGTCACCTCACAGAAAACAGGCCCCCCCTCCGTCTCCTTTTCATAACAAATCTTTCCAAACACAAGAGCACTCATGTCGGAGGGATCTCAGAGTCGGAGTTTTTTTTTTTCTTTTTTTAACACGGCAACAGAATAATGAAAATGCATGTGAGGATTTTCTTTGTGCTGTGTGCGAGGACTCGGCCGTTTATTGTCGTTTAAACCTGTCCTGACTAGTGCTTATATCAAGAGTTTTACTTTATTTGTCAAAAGTTAAAGTGAGAGATGACTTTTCCCTGTTGTATTATAGTTTTTATTTTTAGATTTTTAAAATCCAGTTTTGTCCGATTAGGAAAATTACAGGAACAGCTGCTTGTATCAAGTATTAATATCAAATCTGTATCAAAAATAAAATTGCTAAAAAAAATTAATTGTTATTCTATCAAATCAAACATTCCAGTTTTGCCCGTCACTGTCTTCCACACCGGTTTAGACATTAAAGTATTTATTATTGATTTATTATTTTACTATTGTGCTTTTTGGCTCATTGTGGAGTTCAGGAACAGCTGATAACAGCTGTTTGGTTTGTGTTCATCAAAACATCTTGTTTAACAAAATTCAATGTCCATATCTAAATTCAATTTTTAAATTTTTTTTTATATTATTTATTCATTTCTTTTGGAGTTTTCCACCTTATAGGCTATTAAACAAAATTAATATTAATTTTTTTTTTTAAAGATCTTCCCTTCACATGAGCGCAGTATCATTAAAGTAATAGTTCTTTTTCTTCCTATATTCAACCCTGGAGTTAAAGCCGACTGCTTGTTTGTTCAAACCAGTCCCATAACTACAGCTGAACTAAACAAAGTTTCATCAGCGTACTGTAGTGTGTACAATGAGTGTATGCGGCGTCTGTGAACTCTGACGGAGGAGTGAGGTGTGTTGACATGAAGTGGGCGCTTGTTTAAAGAGCAGTTTTAAATAGCCTGGAGCTGGACTGATGGAAGGTCTTAAAACAGAGAAATCAATATTAGACTATATTGATTGATGTGTCAGTGAGTTACCACAAACTGCTGTACAACACCGTCTCTGTCATCTGGACTGGGAAACAAAAGGCCTAATGTAGGCCACTGAACGCGTCTCACATTCCTGCCTCCCCCAGACAGACTGGCCCACTCTCAGCCCCTGGACATTAGCTGTTAATCAATTTGCACATTGATGGGAACAGCTCTGCTAAATGGATTCTGTTTTTTACATAACAGGTCTCAGCTGTTGAAGTGCGGGTTTCCAGAGGGCCTAGAGGGTTAGGGTTGGGTTAGGAGACCGGACTCACTCAAGGTAAATAGAGTTAAACCTGTGCTTCTAGCTGCCTGTATGTTTTGGGTTTTTTTGTTTTTTCTCTTAGATTTGGTACTTTTTGCTAGTTAGCGTTAGAGCATAAACTTTTTGGTACTTTTTTGCTAGTTAGCGTTAGAGCATAAATACATATGTCTTTCTGTAACAGCAGATAAAACCAAAGTTTGTTTGATGACTGACTTTTTGCGTAACGAACGTACTTAAAACACTTAAAATCAAATACAAACAATGTAAAGCAACAGGATTTACTATATTTTTAAATTCTTAGAGCTAACGTGCTAACCAGACACAAGTCGATACAGGACAGTAGTTGAGGGCGAGTCACTTCTTCTTGCTATCTTGCTAACAGCCTATGTACAGTGTTGGGCAGAAGCAGGTCAACTGTCCAGGCTGTGGAGAAGCAGGGCATAAATAATAAATTCCACTTTTTGCCCAGTAAATAGTCTTTAGCGCTGCTGATGCCCAACTGTTTATGTTAGTGTGCTGAGGGCTTGTGGTGGCAGCGTTTGCCAACGACAATCACAGATAATCTGATGTTATTGTTAGAGCCCAGGAAAATTTGTCAAGGGAATCCACTTGCATACAAGTTCCATGTGCCTACTTGGCACAGATGAACCCGATCAAACCAAACTACGAAGAAACACACACACACACACACACACACACAGAGAGAGAGAGAGAGAGAGAGAGAGACAATTCCAGGCAGACCAGATTCAAATCAGAGCGACTTAAGTGTTGCCAGACACTTCAGGTTTAACAGACGTGCGGGTCTTATCACGTACTGTACCCTGCAGGTCAAACGTTGCATAACTCATGACAGCAGATGATCATTCAGGGAACAAGTCAATCATTCAGTCAGTCAATCATTCAGTCAGCCATTCAGTCAGTCAGTCAGTCAGTCAGCCATTCAGTCAGTCAGTCAGTCACAAAGATAATGGTTGAAGTACTTCAGATCATAGAATCCATCTTTGCTTCTTCAGAGTCATCCAGGAGTGAAGAGTTTAGATAAAACATCTCTTTGACGTCTGTGTTTCAGCTCTAATGTGTAGATTTACACATTACAAATATTTCACATTACATGTGGAGCTTTTGCAGCTTTTGGTTTTCAATACTGAATCTGAACTTTTATACTAGCAGTATCACTGCAGTAGAAGTAAATCTGTCGGAATGTATTTAAAAGCTGCTTGTTAACAGATTATGCGGTCTGTTTGAATAACAAAAAGGAGTTACACCTTGAGCCGTGGTTGATTTGTGTCCTGTCTGAATGGAGACACTCCACCTGAGTGAGCAAAAAAACAAAGAGGAATTGAAAACCTGTGGTCGAAGTACAAAAGACAAAGATCACATGAAAGAGGATCTCTGTACGGACAATGGCATGAACCTGTTTTCATGGGAACAGGAGCCGCCATGGGAATGATTTCTGTCAAAAAAAAAAAAAAAAACCTGAGCTGAAAACAACTCTGCAGTCTGATTATTATATGGACGTTTCTCTGTGTGTTGTAAAAGTTGATCCTGGATTACAGAGGATCTGCGCCTGCAGCCACTGGCTGTGGTGTAACAACGGCCCAAAGGTAAGCGCGGAGAATTAAAGTCCAGCACAACAACAGATTGGACACTTTAAATAACCCTGTTCTCCATTTATCAACATCATGTTGTCATGGAAATGTCTGGGAGAGCCAAAAGTGAGCAGATGGTCTGAGAAAGGGATGGCTGTGACTCAGGCTGGCTGCTCCACTGGTGCTGCTGTCATAGTCTTTGGACCCGGTCCCAGTTCGCCTGTCAATGTGTGGGCCTACGTGTAGAAATGATAGAGAGTTCCTAAATCATCTGCTTTCCCACTCACTGAACAACGTTTGGATGATCTAAAGCCTCCGTGAAGGAGAAGCTACAGAGGCGTGTGTTGGCTGTGAGAGTTAGTGAATGTATGTAAACATACAGGAGAAAACCTGCAGAGACCTGCCACTCTCAGCAGATCACCTTACTGCTCTGACACGTCAAACATTCCTGGTAGTAAAACATAAAGATGGTGCTGTCAGTGTAGTACCAGGTGAGACTTTCACAGTTGTTTTTGTTCCATACAACACAAACAGACGGCTTCATAGTATACTGGGATATGGTCATTCCAAAAACATCTTCAATCCTGTCCTGAGCAGGGGTCGCCTGAGGACATGTCTCCACATTCCTGACCGTGCTCGTCCACAAACACACACGTCCTCTGGGCCCCAAAGAGCCCAACACGTCAGCTGACTTTATCTGACCTGCTTCTCCATGAGATGACCTCCTCTGACTACTTGGATTTAACTGATGCTACCTGAAGCCAGGTCACCTGACATCCATTGACCAATCACAGCCTGACATCCTCTGAGCCACTGCTTCAGAGGCAGGATTTCCAGCTGACGTCCTCTGTCCAGTTGTCTGTTCAGCAGAAGGCCATGGAGCCACTGCTTTGACCACCGACCCACTGTCTTAGAGACGGACTCCTCAGCCAACATCCTGTAGTCAACCACATCACCGTCTACCTCTCTAGCCATACTCTAATGCTTCATGTTGGAAGCTGCCACCTCCGTTGACCCCCCCCCCTCAGCTGGTGTCTCCATCTCCACATCTACATCCCCTGAGACATGCCCTTCTCAGCGGGGGAAATCTAAAATGCACTCCCTCTGCTAATGCCCTCTGACCTTTGACCTGTTACACTTTCTATTGGCCCCTGCACCCTAAATAAAACATGAGTTTGCAGTGTTGAAGTTTGGTTTTTTATTACTGCATGTGATGAGTTTTACTACACTGTTATACTTCCAGATTAAACATTAGCAGCTCCTACGGTTGAATGACCTCATTCTTGATGGTTTTGTTGTTGTTCTACCTTGGACTCTGTGTAAGGTTTTAGTGTTAACAGAAGGTTTTTGTGAAGGGCAGAACGTCAGTGTATTTGGAACCAATTCACAGATTAATGGTCAAAATGTTACAGCAGATAGAACCAGCTCCAACAGATGTCTCATTTTATGACTGACTGGGATTCAGACGGTTTTGAGAATCTGTTGTTGTAGGGTAACATGACAGTGACTGTGACTAATAACCAAACAAAAAATAACATTAATGCTGTTGGTTACCCTGTTTTCTTTTCACAGATCCTCTTTGTTTTTTATGTCGTTGTTC